AACAAGTACCACCTTTCCTCCCAGTCGAGCTAACCAAAAATGTGTCCAGACATTGCCACAGGACCCCTGGGGGGTGAAATCTTTCCTTTTTAACTAGGTGTAATCAAGAAGCTATTGCAATAATCCAGGTGAGCCATGAGGGTGGACTGGACCATGGGGGCAGGTGTGGAAGTCATAAGATTATGGCCCTTCCAACACCTTTTAAACCATTTTATTTTATGTCACCATCATACTACCTAGATTGTGGTAAGACAAGTCTTTTTATCTCTGGTGTTACTTCTTTCTAATCTACTCTCCATACTGAAGCCAGAACAGTTAAACGAACAAACAGCTCACTTAAAGTTTTCCTAAGCATGTTTTCCTAGTTAGAGATCCCACCAGATTGTTTACCAGTGAAACTAACTGATTTGTAGTTTCCTGCTTCCTTCCTGATGCACAGTCCATCACTCCTTACCATGATGGTTACTTTTAATCAAAAGTTATAGTTTGATTACCAGTTCCAAAATGATTCCATTCTTTCCTGGTAATTTATTCATAGGTAGCATGTCATTTACTTACACAATATTTCAACTAGTACCGTGTTTCTCAAAATACAAGATCTGCAACAAGTTGATGGTGTTGAGATTACAGGCATGAGCCACTGTGCCTGGCCGGATTCTACTTTCTAGACTCTAGATTCTACGACGAAAACAAGTAAAACTATTCTTCTCTGTTAAAAGTCAGAATAGTGACGTCCTTGGGAAGGTGACCGAAAGGAAGTACAGAGGGATCAGGGCTTCTGCGTTGCTGGTCATGTTGTGTTTCTTGATCTGGGTGCTAGCTCTGTGGATGTAGGCAGGTTTAGAAGTTAGGCAGCATCATCTCCACCGCATTCTATAGGCTTAGGTAGTTACAAAGGTCAACCTAGTTTCAAGGGGAGGAAGCATAGGTAACTCCTCTCAAAAGGAGGTATATCAACATTACCTTGCAAGAATAACTTGTGGGATGGGACATATATTGCTGTGGCCATTTTTACAAAATGTAAGATGCCCAAGTGCAATGGCCTGATCTCGGCTCACCGCAACCTCCACCTCCCGGGTTCAAGTGATTCTCCTGCCTCAGCCTCCCAAGGAGCCGGGATTACAGGCATGCACCACCACACCTGGCTAATTTTTTGTATTTTTAGTAGAGACGGGGTTTCTCCATGTGGGTCAGGCTGGTCTCAAACTCCCAACCTCAGATGATCCACCTGCCTCAGCCTCCCAAAGTGCTGGAATCACAAGCATGAGCCACCGTGCCCGGCCATTCTCAGCCCCGTTTCTTCAGCTTGACTTGCTGCCTGCGATAAGCCCAGTGGTTCATTTAGTTGAGCTTGCTCTGCCCTTTTAAAGTCTCAGAGTCTTGAATCACCTTGCTCCTTCAGTCTAGAATGAATCTAGTCTTTCTCTCCCAACTCCACCCCTTCAGGATCATCCAGTTATTAGAACCCTCCAAAAAATTTTTCTGGAGTTCTTTGGCCCTTTTTGCGATGCCCCCCATAATCCATGCAAGCACTCATTCATAAGCTCAACAAATATCTATTGAGTGCCTGCCGTGGGCCAAGTACTGTTTCAGGACCTAAACACACAACCTAGAACAAATGAAATAAAAATACTTACTCTTGTGAACTTAGTATTCCAGTGGAGAAGGCAGACAAGTAGTAAAAACAAACAAACAAAAAAAAACCAAAAAACTTAACAAACAACCTATAGGGCATGTTAGACGAGGAAACAAGAGTGAGGTGGGATTGCTATTTAAGTGGAATGGTGGGAGAGCTTCATTGAGAAGACCCGAAGGGATGGGAGAGCGGGCCGTATGGCCACTTAGGTAAGGAGAAGTTCAGCTGGAAGTACCTGGCAGGTTAGAAGAGGAAGGGGTCTATCAAGATTGGAGCAGGAAAGTCAGGGAAGAGGTGCGGAAGGTTATAGGTGGCTAGATTCCATCAGGCCTTGTAGGCCACTATAAAGACCTGGGTTTTTACTCTGAGTGAAATGGGAAACCATCGCAGGGTTTTAAGCAGAGGAGGAACATAATTTGACATTATTAAAACGTCTGTCTGGCTGTGGTGTGGAGAATAGCCAAGAGAAGTAAGGTGTAATCAAGAAGCTATTGCAATAATCCAGGTGAGCCATGAGGGTGGACTGGACCATGGGGGCAGGTGTGGAAGTCATAAGATTAATATGTGTTTAACTCAAGTTGTGGTATTAATTATGATTTGCATTAAATGCATCGCTAATATGCTTCTGCGGTGGATTTTTCCACCTTAGATTTCAGGGAATGGATGTGATGGGAGTGGGTAGGGAAGGTCTGAGGTTACTAAAGACATGGAGCCTCCTGGATCTGCAAACCTCAAATGATTCTAGGCCTCGGAGCCTCTGGCGCAGCAATAATTCTGCAGCCGAGCCCACTAGCCGCTTCCCAGTGACCATGCGCAACAGGCAGGTGGGAGCCTATGGAAAGCGCGGACTTTCGGAAAGCTGCACGAGCGCGTTCGGGGAGTCCGGTTCAGCGCCTCTGCGCAGGCGCAGTGGTCCCCACGGGCTTGCGCGCGCACTCGCTGCGGGACAAGCTTCTGGAAGCTCATTGCGGTGGCGTTGGTGCTGTTTGCGGATGCTGGTGCAGGTACTGGTCGTCCCGGGTCCCGAGTTCCGGGGCCGTGGCCGGGTTGCCGGCTCCGAGGGCGCACCTGGGGCGGGGTGGGGGCCGGGAGCAGCCTACCAACGGGCTGTGCGGTGCGCTGCTGCTGCTTCTGTGGGAGGTGCGCACTCCGCTGCGGGATGGGGCTGTTGGCTTCCCTCCATCCCTCCCTGCGCAACTTGGGCACTGTTGACATTTTGGGCGGGATAATGCCTAATGCCTTGTTTTGTTTGTGTGGTGTGGCTGTGAGGGGGAGGCTCTCCCGTTATTGCAGGATGTGTAACAGCGTCACTGCTTCTGCCCGTTAGATAACAAGTACCACCTTTCCTCCCAGTCGAGCTAACCAAAAATGTGTCCAGACATTGCCACAGGACCCCTGGGGGGTGAAATCTTTCCTTTTTAACTCCCTCCGGTTGAGATCCTCTGGCTGCGTCACATTTTCACCGGGCCTCCAGTGTAAACTCTGTAGACGGAGCCGAGTGTCTTAGTCACCGCGGAGCCCCAGGTGCCCCGCACGGCGCCAGGTACATAGTGGGCGCCTAATATTTGGCAGAGGAATAAATGACGTCATGCGTGCTGTGTGCCGGGCGCTGTACTCGGAAGTGGGTTGTTATTGGTATGGTAGTTGCAATGCGAAGCTGTCACATCATTCACTTGTCGCATTGTAGTCCCGCTCCGGCTGCATTGTCATTTCCTGGACCCTCTGTGAGCGTGAGGACCCTTTCAGGCCTGTCCACGCCTGGCCCCGCAGCTCATGACCCCTGGTCCTGTTCCAGCTCATTGTAGTTGCTCAGTCACTTGTAGAATGAATGAATGCAGGCAACACAGGGTAGTCTGTGTGCAAAGGAGTGCTTTGGGATCAAGCAGAGCATCACACAAGAAGTGACAGTTGAAAGGAGTCAGGCTTTAAAGAACGAATAAAAGTTTGTTAGGAGAAAGAAAGCAACATTCCGAGGAGAGGGAATAGCCTTGGTGCGAACGCTAGGAGGGTATGTAGAGAGGAAGTGTCTGGGAATGGGGAGATATTAATTTATGGCTGTAGTGTCAATCGGGTAGCTTAGAGCTCAAGGGGTGAGGTCATCAGGCAGTGTCTCTAGATCACAATGCCATGGTCTCTGCATGTGAACTTTATCGAGAGACCATTTGGGGGCTGGTGAGGGACTGTAAGCTGGGGAGTGATAAGATCATATTTTGCCTGTTAGAAGGAATTTTTTGGCTACAGTGTGAGACTGGATTGAAGATCCCTGTACTTAGGCAGTTTCAGTAGGATAGAATGGAGAGGTTCTTAGGAAATAAAATCACCAGACCTTGGTTATCGATGATGGGAGAAGTAAGGAGGAAGAGAAATTTGAAAGTCAAATATTAAATTGGGCTTCTGAGTTGAGCAACTGGTGAGAAATGTGTACCCTTTCATTAAGAAAGGGTAGGAGTTGTTAAATAGCTTTTCGACTGGGTCCCCTTTTGAACCTTTTCTGATAACATTTTGTTTAGGAGGAGTATTGAATCTAAAGCAACTGTTTCCTTAACCCTTAAGTCGCTCCTCGGCTTTTGACTATAAAGAAAGTTATGACTGGGTGCGGTGGCTCAAACCTGTAATCCTGACACTTTGGGAGGCCGAGGTGGGTGGGTCGCCTGAAGTCAGGAGTTCGAGACTAGCCTGGCCAACATGGCAAAACCCCATCTCTACTAAAAATACAAAAATTAGCTGGGAATGGTGGCACGTGCCTGTAGTCCCAGCTTCCTGGGAGGCTGAGGCAGGAGAATTGCTTGAACCCGGCCAGGGCAGAGGTTGCAGTGAGCTGAGATCGTACCACTTCACTCCAGCCTGGGCACCAAGAGCGAAACTCCGTGTCAAAAAAAAAGAAAGAAAGAAAATTATCTTTTTAATATAGTAGTTGAGCAGGGCTTTTCTAGGCCTTCGCAGGTATGTGTGTGGATATATTTCTCTGAACCAAACCAAGAACAATGTTTTTAGGACTAACAACAGTTTGTTTTACTTATTTAATGCCTTAATATTTCTTCTTGACAGTTTCTGCAGGACTGTAAACTGGATTCCTGGAACCTTTGATATTCCTGGCTGTATATAGTACCTGTTGGTGGACTGCACTGATACTCAACTAGAGTGTGAAGGGACTGGATTCCTGCCCCTGAGACACAATGCAAGCTGTAGTGCCCTTGAACAAGATGACAGCCATCTCACCAGACCCTCAAACTCTGGCCTCGACTGAACAAAATGAGGTCCCAAGAGTGGTTACTTCTGGGGAGCAAGAAGCTATTTTAAGAGGAAATGCAGCTGACGCAGAGTCTTTCAGACAGAGGTTTAGGTGGTTTTGTTACTCAGAAGTAGCTGGACCCAGGAAAGCTCTGAGTCAACTCTGGGAGCTCTGCATTCAGTGGCTGAGACCAGACATTCACACGAAAGAACAGATTTTAGAGCTTTTGGTATTTGAGCAGTTCCTGACCATTTTGCCTGGGGAGATCAGGATTTGGGTAAAGTCACAACATCCTGAGAATAGTGAGGAGGTGGTGACCCTAATAGAAGATTTGACCCAGATGCTTGAAGAAAAAGGAGGTGAGATTTATAGATGGAGGGAGGAAGCGGGAGACATTGCCTCAAAGTCCGAAAGTAAATTCCTCAAAAGAAAGCAATTTACTGCTAAAGAGGAGTCTGAGGTTTGAAGTTGGGACTGGGTTTGAATCAGCCCTGCCATTTACTGTGTGATTTTGGGCAAGCTGTGTAAACTCTCAGAATGTAAATATTTTTATCCGTTAAAAAGGGATATCATCTTTCCTGTAGTTTTCTTGTAAAGGTAAGACAAGATAAGGTATAATATATGGTGGATGCTCAAGACATAGTAATTTCTTTCCCATCCCCTTCAAGAACACAAGTTATCTGTGAAAGTGTTTGGAGTCACAGGCAAATCAACCAGCTCAGGCCCTAATGTCTAGTTCCACTGTGTGGACTAGCATGTTGCTGGAGCAGGGCTGTCAGTGTCTTTGCTGATGGAAATGTTTCTGCACTGTTTTGCAATTCAAGTTAAGTACATGAAAAGCAGCTAGTGCAAATAAGGAACTGAATTTTTTAAATCAAATTTAAAGTTTAAATAGCCAAATGCGACTAGTAACTATTTTACCGTGCAGTTCCACAGCCTTAGGGCAGGAAAACCTGAATTTTATGTATGTAATTACATATTATAAATATAAATGTATAAACTATAAACTGAATTACATTGATATCATTATAAAATATTGATGTAAAGTCTTCTAGGGTGAATAGTCCTTTCAGGGAATGTGGCTCACCTTTTTTCTCAAATTTGTAGCTATTCATATTCTCAAATATGATACAAATATTTGTATTTTACAGTGTAATATGCTACAAATATTTGGAATATTTGCATTCCAAATATATTTGGAATATTTGTAGCGTATCTACCATAGGGCTCCTGATATATATGTATGACAGTTTGTATTCTGGAAGAGTTCTGAGATAGGGAAATAAATAGTATTTACCTCCATACGCTTAATTTGCCGTCACATAGCTAATTAGTGTATCTAAAATTTGGATTTCCTGACTCCTCTGTGATTTGTCACTGCAGTGTCATGCTTCTACAAAATTAGGGCCTTTTTGTGGAGGCCCCTGCAATAAAGAATTCGTTTCGGGCTGGGTACGGTGGCTCACGCTTGTAATCCCAGCACTTTGGGAGGCCTAGGTAGGTGGATCACCCGAGGTCAGGAGTTTGAGACCAGCCGTACCAACATGGAGAAACCCCGTCCCTACAAAAATACAAACTCAGCCCAGCATGGTGGTGCACACCTGTAATCCAAGCTACTATGGAGACTGAGGCAGGAGAATCGCTTGAACCCGGGAGGTGGACGTTGCAGTGAGCCAAGATCGCGCCATTGTACCCCAGCCTGGGCAACAACAGCACAACTCCGTCTCAAAAAAAAAAAAAAAATTGATTTCCAGGATTCTGTAGGGTATAACAGTTTTCTTAAATTCACCCCACTTTTCTCTTTGATTAAGTCATTCTAATTCTTAATTTTTATTGATTGTCTAATCACTAAAGTTGCCTAAAATTATTTTCATAAGAAGGTAGAGTATGATTTGAAAAAATACTTTTTCTTGTTTGAAAAAGAGCTGTTGACATCCGAGGGTTTTTGTGTATTTATTTTTTACTACTCCTTGCGGAGCAGGGCCCACTCATTGGTAGTATGCCCAGAATGGGCCAATCTGAAGGTACTGGATACATTTAGTTCCTATGAGTTTATTAGACGCCTCTTTTCTGTCATAAGGAATCTGGTGGAGTCAACTCTTGAGACTAACCTGGTGCTTTCATTCAGTTAGCAGGTTGGAGTGACTCTTGAGCAAGGCCTTGTACTAGCACTATGAAGAATACACAGTTTTACCTTACTACGTCTTTTAAATTAGGATACTTCAAAATTCATTGTTGTTCAAATTAAACATTTTTAAACTGAGGCTATATAGAAAGAAGAAAACCAGTTTTCGTGAGCTTAGGATTTGAAAGGATTTTTATATGAGCTAAGAGGAAACGCCTAGGTTTTCATAGGAAACTTTTATCTATGGCTGTTCTCTGTTTTAAAGAGTGGACAACTTTTTGTTTCTTCTGACTTTTTTATCCAGAGAGGCTCAGAGCTCTTAGAACCCTTGTAATTTCCTGGGTGATTAGAGCAGTAAGAGTGTCTTTTGTTAAAATATTTGGCCTTTTGTCCATGGTTCCTGAAACAGCTCCTGAGCTATAAAGGAGAAAGACAGTCTTTTTGTTATTTGTAACAAGCCCCTTTTAACCACCCTTGAGTTTATGTTAATGAGATGATTTTTGGAAAGTCCTTAGATAACCCTGGAATTGGGGGAGGGTGCTGGTTGCCAGGGGAACCAACCTCTGTGCTTACAGGGTTGGAACTCAGCCCCACCCCCCCAACCTGTCAGAGGGGAGAGGGACTGAAGGTTGAGTTAATCACAGGGCCAGTGATTTAATCAGTCATGCCTGTCTATGAAGCTTCCATAAAAACCAAAAAGACACAGCTCATGAGAGTTTTCCAGATAGCTAACCATGTGGCAGTTCCTGGAGAGCGGTGTAGAGGGCATGGAAGTGCCAAGCATCTTGCCCTGTGCAGTGTCATCCATCTGGCTGTTCATCTGTATCCTTTGTAATACCCTTTACAATAAACAAGTAAACGTAAGTAAAGTGTTATGTGAGCCACTCTAGCAAGTTATTGGAACCCAGGGAGGGGCTCATGGGATCCCCAATTTGTATCTTGTTGGTCAAAGCCCTGGAGGCTCAGACATGAGACTGGCATCTGAAGTGGAGGTCGGTCTTGTGAGACTGAGGCCTTAACCTTTGGGAGCTAATGTTGTCTCCAGGTAGATAGTATTAGAAATGAATTAGAGGATACCCAGCTGGTGCCTGCTGGGGAATCCAACACAGAATTGCTTGCCGGGTGTGGGGGAAACACCCCCACATATCTGAAGTCTCAGAGTTATTTTGTCTTGTGAGTATAGTAGGAGAAACTGACTTAGTTTTTTTCCTGTGTATCACTTAGAAATATATAGATATATATATAAAGATTTTTAGTCTGAGGAATTTATTTGAAAGACTGGACTGGTTTTCTCGCCTTTCCTAGATCCAGTCTCTCAAGATTCTACTGTTTCCCAAGAGGAGAACTCAAAAGAGGATAAAATGGTCGCTGTTTGTCCCAATACTGAGTCCCGTGTAAGTTTCCTTTCAATGGTTTTTATTCCTAAGTGAATACTTAAACTGGGCTCCTACTGAGTGATATTAAGATACAAAATCAAAGGCTAGGCACGGTGCTTACACCTGTAATCCCAGGCAGTACTTTGGGAGGCTGAGGCAGGAAGATCGCTTGAGCCCAAGAGTTCAGGGTTGCAGTGAGCTGTGATGACGCCACTGCTGCCTTCCATCCTGGGCAACAGAGCAAGACCCTCTCTCTAACAAAATAAAATGAAATAAATATAGTCTCCCTTTCAAGGAACTGAGACCTCATTTTCCGCATGCAGTTTTGTTTCAGTTCACAGAATGCCATGAGTCTGATTCTAATGAGACAAAAAAATTTACTAAAATTCAGCAGTTACCGCTGTTAAAATTAGTCAGGTGGAAGTAGAAGTTCATTTCCTTCTTTTTCTTTTTTTTTTTTTTAATTGAGACAGAGTTTCACTCTGTTGCCCAGGCTGGAGTGCAGTAGCGGGATCTTGGCTCACTGCAACCTCTGCCGCCCAGGTTCAAGTGATTCTCCTGCCTCAGCCTCCCAGGTAGCTGGGACTACAGGCACGTGCCACCATTCCCAGCTAATTTTTGTATTTTTAGTAGAGACAGGGTTTCACTATGTTAGCCAGCCTGGTCTCGAACTCCTGACCTCGTGATCCACCCACTTCAGCCTCCCAAAGTGCTGGGATTACAGGTGTGAGCCACCGCACCTGGCCTGCCTGCCTTCTTTTTTTTTTTTTTTTAAGGAGATGGGGTCTTGCTTTATCATCCAGGCTGGAGTGGAGTGCAGTGGTGCAAGCATAGCTCACTGCAACCTTGAAGTCCTGGGCTCAAGCTATCCTCCCTCCTCAGCCTCTTGAGTAGCTGGGACAACAGGCGCACATCACTCTGCCCAGCTCATTTTAAAATATTTTTTGTAGAGTTGGGGTCTTGCTGTGTTGCCCAGGCTGGTCTTGAACTCCTGACTTCAAACAGTCCTCTCCCTTGGCCTCCCACAGCATTGTGATTACAGACATGAGCCACTGTGCCCAGGCAGAGATACACGTCCTTAAATCTTAACATGATAAAGAACATCTTTGACCGGGTACAGTGGCTCATGCCTGTAATCACATCGCTTTGGGAGGCCAACGTGGGAGGATTGCTTGAGCTTGGGAGTTCGAGACCAGCCTGGGCAACACAGCGAGACCCTCGTCTATATAAAAAATTTTAGAAATTAGCTGGGCACAATAACATACCTGGGGTCTCAGCTACCCGGGATCTGAGGTGGCAGGGAAAGACAGTCTTTCACTTGAACCTGGGAGGTTGAGGCTGCAGTGAGCTATGATTGCGCCGCCATACTCCAGCCTGGGTAGCAAAGTGAGACTCTGTCTCACAAAAAGAAAACAACATGAGGAATTTATTCTGGATGATACAGGTGGGCCCTAAATGCCATCCCAAGTGTCCTTGCTAGAGAGGCAGGAGGAGATTGAAAACACAAAGAGAAAGTGATGTGAAGAGTTAGGCAGAGTTTGGGGTGATAGGGCTGCAAGACAGGGAACGGTGGCAGCCACCAGAAGCAGGAAGAGGCAAGGAACAGATTCTCCCCCAGAGCCTCTGAAGGGAGCACAGCCCTGCCAACACCTAGATCTCAGACTTCTGGCCTCCAGAACTGTGAGAGAACAAATTCTTATTTTGAGTCACCAAGGTTATGGTAATTTGTTACAGCTCCCAGAGGAAGGTAATACACGTACCAATAGCCATTCTGCTCTACTGCCTCTCAAAAAGCATGCAGAGAATGCTATAGAAAGTGTATTTGAAAAATTAGCCGGATGTGGTGGTGCATGCCTGCAATCCCAGCTGCTTGAGAGGCTGAGGCATGAGAATCACTTGAACCCGGGAGGCGGAGGTTGCAGTGAGCCGAGATCATGCCATTGCACTCCAGCCTGGGCAACAGAGCAAGACTTCGTCTCAAAAAAAAAGAAGGAAAGAGTATTTTAGTGAGTCAGTATTCTTGTTTGTAATTGTGGAGTAATTGCAAGTGTGAGTATGTTGTTGAACATAGATTCTCTGAATATGATAGAAAATAATTGCTGCTTATAATTGGAAGTTAAAATTTGGAATGCAGTTGCAGATATTATGCAATTATTACCTGTAGTAAACTTACATTAATTCTGCAAATTTAGGGTTCAGGAATGTAAATCATGCCCTTCATTTAATATTTTAGTCCTAGAAATCGATGTGTTAGGGTGAACTTGATCAATGTTATACATTCCAGAGAATTCTTGTACAGTATTGAACACTAGAGACTGAATGGAAGAGGCAGGGATTGTGTAGTACCTTTGTTCTGAATCACTTATAAAAGTCAGAGAATGTATAGCCGCTCTGTAGCTTACTTTGGAATTCTTAAAAACTTGCATGCTATCAAAACCATTCTTTATATCCTATCCAGGCTGGGCACAGTGGCTCAGGCCTACAATCCCAGTGCTCTGGGAGGTAGAGGACAGAGGATTACTTGAGCCCAAGAGTTCGAGACCAGCCTGGGCAGCATAGTGAGACAATGCCTCTACAAAAAATTTAAAAATAACCCAGGCGTGGTGGCACATGCCTGCAGTCCCCACTGCTATTGGGAGGATCACTTGAGCCCAGGAGGTTGAGCCTACAGTGAACCATGAAGCACCACTGCACTCTAACATGGGTGACAGAGAAATAATAGCCTGTCTCAAAAACAAAGCAAAACAAAACAAAACTTAGGTTCTATTTGGGAATAGTCCAATACAAAAGAGCTGTTTGGTGTTCTAGGAATCTATAACATTGAAGGATGTAGCTGTCAACTTTTCAAGAGGAGAGTGGAAGAAGCTGGAGCCTTTTCAAAAGGAGCTATATAAGGAAGTGCTACTGGAAAACTTCAGGAACCTAGAATTTCTGGGTAAAGACACCTTTTCTTCATTACCTAGTGCTTAGCCTTGGGTCTCTTTTTGTCCCCTTTTATTGAAAAGTAAGTGCTATGTGAAGTACTTTGTTTTGGCTGGGGACCCAGGGACTGATAGGACTAATCCAAAAAACCAGTTCTGAAAATGTGCTTTTCTGCAGTGTATCTTCTAGAAAAGGTCTTTGCTTCATTGAATGGGAAATGTGAAGCATCATTTTGATTTCATCAGTGGAATACCTTTTCCCATTTTTGTCGCAAGTTCCAGTATTTATGTCTGTGTATTTTGGTAGCATTTTTTATCTTCCCTGGAGAACCAGAGGCTATATATGAGTGCTGGGAAATCTTTATTCTATGCAAAAGACAATTTTCTGTTCTTTTCTCTATGAGCAGACTTTCCAGTTTCAAAATTAGAGTTGATTTCCCAGCTGAAGTGGGTTGAATTGCCATGGCTGCTGGAAGAAGTCTCAAAAGGCTCCCGACCAGGTGAGTTGGTGAAAAATACACAACGAAATGAAAACAGTTGTTTAGCAAGTCTGTTGAGAAGACTCTTTGAAATGTTGGGCTGCCTAGACACTAAAATACGAAGATGATTAGAATAGAGCCCTTGCCTTCCTGAAATGTTCATTTTAATGGGGGAGACTTGGTTTGGGTCCTCTGAATAGATGCCAGGACATGATTAGCCATGTAAGATCTTTACTGGAGAAAGATTCAGTGAAGGAAAATGAGGAGGGAACTAGAAGAAGCCGGGAGAGCTATCAGAGCATAATGCTGGTCTAACCTGTGAATGAGAACAGGAAGTAGGGCAGATTGGGTAGGAAAAGTCTTAGACTAAAGTGTCATTCTATCTTTTTTTATTTTTATTTTTATTTTTTTGAGTCAGAGTCTCGCACTGTCTCCCGAGCTAGAGTGCTATAGCACTATCTCAGCTCACTGCAACCTCCGCCTCCCGGGTTCAAGTGATTCTCCTGCCTCAGCCTCCCGAGTAGCTGGGATTACAGGCGCCCACCAACAAGCCAGGCTAATTTTTTGTATTTTTATTAGAGATGGGATTTCACCCTGTTGGCCAGGCTGGTCTCGAACTCCTGACCTCTTGATCCGCCTGCCTCGGCCTCCCAAAGTGCTGAGATTACAGGCATGAGCCACCATGCCCGGCTGAAGTGCAGTTCTAAAAAAGTTTAGGCAAGGCCAAACAGGAGTCCTTACCATAGTTACCTATCAGAGGAGTCCTGTGTCTCAAAGAAATGGGCCTCTGTAAGTATCCCTGTACTCCATCATTGACCGGGAGCCGCTTGTGGGAACTGGTGTGGATGCAGTGTTGAATTCATAGAGCAGCAGTAGAGGTTGTCAGGTAATATCTCCACAGGAGGAGTTGTGAGCGGTGCATATTTATGGACACTAGAGGACATATCGAAACAAGAGTGTTAACACTGTGATGCATACTATATCAAGCACGTGTATAAGGAGCTGTGGGAATATGTAGGAGCAAGGTTTTAATTCGCATTTGAGTTGAATCTTGAAGAATAAGTAGGAACTCACCTGGTGGACAGCATGTATAATAATTCAATTTTTGCTAAAGGGAATAACACATGCCTGAATACATAGAATATATGGATTTTTAATATCTGGAAAACATTCATGTTAGCACTGGTTATCTTTGAAGAATTAGGTTTTGTTTTGTTTTCTTGAGATGGAGTCTTGCTCTGTTGTCAGGCTGGAGTGCAGTGGCACAGTCTCGGCTCCCTGCAACCTCCACCTCCCACGTTCAAGTGATTCTTTTGCCTCAGCCTGCCAAGTAGCTGGGACTACAGGCGTGTGCCACCACGCCCAGCTAATTTTTTTGTATTTTTAGTAAAGGCGGGGTTTTACCATGTTGGCCAGGATGGTCTTGATCTCCTGACCTCGTAATCCAACTACCTCGGCCTCCCAGAGTGCTGGGATTACAGGTGTGAGCCACCGTGCCTGGCGAGGATTAGGTTTCTTTATACTTATCTGTATCTTACAATTTATATACATTATTATTATTATTATTATTTTTTTTGAGACAGAGTTACCCAGGCTGGAGTGCAGTGGTGCAATCTTGACTCACTGCAACCTCTGCCTCCTGAGTTCAAGCAATTCTCCTGCTTTAGCCTCCCAAGTAGCTAGGACTATAGGCACGTGCCACCACGCCCAGCTAATTTTTTTTGTATTTTTTTTAGTAGAGATGGCATTTCTGCATGGAAAGGAGGTGGATCACTCTTGATCTCAAGTAATCCAACTGCCTTGGCCTCCCTAAGTACTGGGATTACAGGCGGGAGCCACCACGCCTGGCCACGATTTATATATATTAAATTTACGTTAAAAAAAAATAAAAATAGGCCGAGCGCAGTGGCTCCTGCCTGTAATCCCAGCACTTTGGGAGGCCAGGGTGGGCGGATCACGAGGTCAGGAGATCAAGACCATCCTGGCTAACATGGTAAAACCCCGTCTCTACTAAAAATACAAAAAAAAAAATTAGCAGGGCATGGGGGCAGGTGCCTGTAATCCCAGCTACTTGGGAGGCTGAGGCAGAAGAATCGCTTGAACCTGGGAAGCAGAGCTTGCACTGAGCCAAGATCGCGCCACAGCACTCCAGCCTGGGCGACAGAGCGAGACCCCGTCTCAAAAAAAAACAAAATGAAAATAAAAATAAGTTATTACATGTATCGATACCTTGGTTTATCTTAAAGAAAGAAGCAATAATCCATCTTGCTGTATTCCATCTTCTCAAACAATTATTGTAGTCAACTTATTGGCTGCTTCCAGTATACGATTGACCCTTGAACAACATGAGGATTAGGGGCACTGACCCCCTTCGCCCATACAGTTGAAAATCCATGTATAACCGTTAACTCTCCAAAAACTTAACTACTAATAGCCTACTGTTGACCTGAAGCCTTATGATAAACAGAATTACATATGTTTGTTATATACTATATTCTAGTAAGCCAGAGAAAAATGCTATTAAGGCAAAAAGAGAAAATACATTTACAGCACTGTACTGTGTGTGCAGATCACTAAGTTTATGTTGTCTATCTGAAATGGCAGACAATTGTAGCTGCAGACCTCAGTCTATGGTGCATATCAAGCAGTTCAGCTTTTTCTTGAATTATCGTGACTATTCTGTGCTTGTTGGCAGCACTTCCAGTGCTACTAGCAGCACTTTGTATGGGTCCCATGATGTTATTCAAGTTTTACAGCATTGCACTAAAGACAATGAAAAATAGGAGAGAACTGCAAGAGATCCATTTTTACTGTGATAGGCAATTTCCTGGAGACGTAAACTGCTTACATGGAGATGATTAGCATGATACGGCTTTTTTTTTTTTTTTTTTTTGTGGAGACAGAGTCTCACTCTGTCACCCAGGCTGGAGTGCAGTGGTGTGATGTCAGCTCACTGCAGCCTCCACCTCTTGGGTTCCAGCGATTCTCCTGCCTCAGCCTACCAAGTAACTGTGATTACAGGTATGCACCACCACACCCAGCTAAGTTTTGTATTTTTGGTAGAGACGGAGTTTAACCACGTTGGTCTCAAGCTCCTGACCTCAAGTGATCTGCCTGCCTTGGCTTCCCAAAGTGTTGGAATTACAGGTGTGAGCCACTGCACCTGGCCTACCTGGCATTTTAAGTGGATACTTAGGGCAGACGTTTGAGCTCATTGCAATACCAACAAGAGATGCCTATGAAATTATGACAGTGTATGGTAGGTACTATAGTTCGTTTTATGCAGTTATCAGTTTGAGACAGGGTCTTGCTCCATCATCCAGGCTAGGGTGCAGTGGCATGATCACAGCTCACTATAGCCTCTACCTCCTGGGCTCAAGCAATCCTCTCACCTCAGCTTCGTGAGTAGCTGGTACTACAGGCACATGCCACCATATTCAGCTAATGTTGGTATTTTCTGTAGAGACAGAGTTTCGTCATGTTGCTCAGGCTGGTCTCTAACTCCTGAGCCAAAACAAACTGCCTACCTTGGCCTCCCAAAGTGGTGGGGATTATGGGGGTGAGCTACTGTGCCTGGCCCAGTTATTATTTGATACTGTATCTTTACATTTGCTTACATTTCTCTAGACTGTGAATGACACCAAGTATGGCCTGTAAGTGTGTGTGTACGTTTTGATAAATTTTAACTTTATAATTTGTGTACATTTTATAGCAATAAATGACAAAATAGATTAGTATCTATATCTTAAAAGTTCATGACTTTTTTTTTTTTTTTGACATGTCTAGGCTACACAGTTTGTCTGCAAGTTTTTTCCAATTGTCACAGATCTCCAAAAATTTTTCTAATGTGTTTATTGAAAAAAATCCACAGGCTGGGCATGGTGACTCCTACCTGTAATCTCAACACTTTGGGAGGCCAAAACGGGAAGAGCACTTGAAGCCAGGAGTTTGAGACCAGCCTGGGCAGCATAGTGAGACCCTGTTTCTACAAAAAATTTAAAAACCAGCCAGGCGCAGTGGTGTGCGCCGAGGTAGGAGGATTGCTTGAGCCCAGGAGTTAGAGGTTGCAGTGAGCTACAATCATGCCACTGTACTCCAGCCTGGATGACAGATCAAGACCCCATCTCTTAGAAAAACAAAAATCCACCTGTAAATGGATACTTGCAGTTCAAATTTATGTTGTTCAAGGGTCAACTGTGATTACATATATAAAGGACAATAGTTATTTTATCACATTTAAGTAGCATTTTGGAGGGGAATTTAAAAAATGGATTCTAAAAGTGTTATGAGTAGTTCTGGCAGCACTGGTGTAAATATATGTTCCTTCCCCAATTATCTTACATCAAACAAAAAAGCCTCATGTTGATATACAGCTTGTTTTAAAAGTTATTTACGACACACTAGAGAAGAAAGTTTTTGACAGATACAGCAGTCAATGGCCATAATTTATTTAAAAAAAAAGCAAAAAAACCTCAGCCAGGTGTCGTGGCTCACCTATAATCCCAGCACTTTGGGAGGCCAAGGCAGGTGGATCACCTGAGGTCAGGAGTTCGAGACCAGCTTGGCCAACATGGTAAAACCCTGTCTCTACTTAAAAATGCAAAAATTAGCCAGGTGTGGTGGTGGGCAGCTGTAGTCTCAGCTACTCAGGAGGCTGAGACAGGAGAATTGCTTGAACCTGGGAGGTGGAGGTTGCAGTGAGCAGAGATTGCTGGGGTGACAGAGTGAGACTCCATTTCAGAAAAAAAACCTCATTCAAATCAATAAGGAACACTAAGTCTGTTAGGAAAAGGGACTAACTTGAATGGATCACCAACAAAATTTAAAATTTAAATAGCTCGTGAACATGAAAAAATTGTTCAAACTCACTGGTTAGCAATACAGTGCACATTTAAAGCAATAATACTATTTATTATGAATTAAATTTGCAAAGATTTAAAGAATATTTGACCAGAGATAGTACTCAGGGGCTTCTGCTCCTTGTGTGTCATGTAAAGCAGTATAACCTGGTTTCTACCCTTTGATTTAGTAATTCTGCCTTCATGACTCTATTTTTCAGGAAGTATTATTTGATAAAGGTTCAATAAGAGAATGAGACTGGGTATGGTGGCTCACGCCTGTAATCCCAGCACTTTGGGAGGCCAAGGCGGGTGGATCACCTGAGGTCAGGAATTCAAGACCAGCCTGACCAACGTGGAGAAACCCCATCTCTACTAAAAATACAAAATTAGCTGGGCGTGGTGATACATGCCTGTAATCCTAGCTACTCGGGAGGCTGAGGCAGGAGAATGGCTTGAACCCGGGAGGCGGAGATTGCAGTGAGCCAAGATTGCACATTGCATCCAGCCTGGGCAACAAGAGTAAAACTCCATCTCAAAAAAAAAAAGAGAGAATGAACAATTATATCTATATGATGATTATCATGTCACTGATTAAAATTATCTTTATGAAGAATTAACGAGTTGGGTGCAGTGGCTCATACCTGTAATCCCAGCACTTTGGGAGGCCATAGTGGGAGAATCACTTGAGGCCAGCTATTCAAGACCAGCCTGATCAGCACAGGGAGACCCCATCTCTACAGATAATTTTTAAAAATTAGCCAGATGTGGTGCCACCTGCCTGTGGTTCTACCTACTTGGAAGGCTGAGATGGGAGGATTGCTTGAGCTGGGGAGGTTGAGGCTGCAGTGAGCAGTGATCATGCCACTGCACTCCAGCCTAGGCAACAGAGTAAGACCCTGTCTCTAAAAATAAAAAAAAAATTTTTTTAAAAGAAAAATTAGCAGTAAAATGGGAAATAATCATAAATGAAAAGAGTAACAATACAAAGTGAAAAGAATAACAATACAAATTATACAGTTTTTCTGTTTTAAACTATATAGAAACATCGAAGGAAATATACAGAATTGTGTATTAACCATTAGTTAACTTCTAGGTAATACGATTTTGAGTAACTTTGTATTTTGTAATTATCTGTTGAAAAAATAGTTTCATAAAAGTGACAATGTGACCTCATGGCAAAAAGCCAGGATGTAGTTAATTAGTGAATTCAAAAATTCTGAGAATAGCATAATCAGTGAGAGTATGGTATTGGAGAGAGCTCTGGAGATTGTTGCAATTGAACCCTAGGCCCTGTCGAATTTATGTTTGCGACAGTGAGGGTGCTGTGGGAATGCATTCTAGGTAGTAGGAAGTATGCAGGTCAGAAGAATAGTACTGGAACTGCAACAGTGTAGGAGAGACTTAAAATGGATGCCTGATTAGTGTATATGTAAGGCTGATAGGGCCAACTTGTAATCTTTGAAAGTCTATATTGGTGGTGCTGCATATCTATGATGTGTATACTCTTTTCAACAAAGTAGTGTTATTTGTCTGCTTTGCGGAGAGGTGATATGATATAGGGATCAAGAGCGTGGGCTTTGGTTTCAGATTAAGTTAAAAATCTAGCTCTATCACGTATTATACATGTGACCTTGGGCAGACTACTTAATACTCTTATGTTCCCAGTTGTCAACATCCATAAAACCCGGGATGGTAATAAAAGCTACTCCGTAGGGTTGTTGTAAAGATTAAGTGCAGTATATTGTACTTACTTTTATTACATCGTGCTTGGTGCGGGACCTGGCATTTGGTAAATATTCAACAAATGTTTGTGCTATCATTGTTGGAAAGAGAAAAATTACAATCTAGGGAGAATAGGTTTGAACTTTTTTTTTTTTTTTTTTTTGAGATGGAGCCTTGCTCTGCTGCCTAGGCTGGAGTACAGTGCCACAATCTTGGCTTCCTGCAACCTCCACCTCCTGGGTTCAAGCGATTCTCTTACCTCAGCCTCCCGAGTAGCTGGGACCACAGGCTCATGCCATCACACCTGGCTAATTTTTTGTATTTTTAGTAGAGATGGGGTTTCACCATGTTAGTCACCATGGTCTTGATCTCCTGACCTCATTATCTGCCTGCCTCGGCCTCCCAAAGTGCTGAGATTACAGGTGTGAGCCACCATACCCATCCTGAACTTCTTATAAAAATTCAAATGAGGGCGAAAACTTGTATCTAACTGTAAAGCACAAACTTTTCATCTTTCTCAATATTTTTCTTAACCCATATGTTTACATTGTTTCCCTATATTGTCTTTTCCTTTTCTATTTTATAAAGCTCTTTTTGAGAACCATCGAAACTGTATTCCTTGTAGTTACTAATGTATTCTTATTTCAGACCCAAATACAACAGCTTCCTTTCTTGCAAAGAGGAAATACTCTATTTCTTATTTCTTTTAGATGAATCGGCTTTAGATAAAATAATAGAAAGATGCCTCAGGGATGATGATTATGGCTTGATGGAAGAATTCCAGCAATATTGTGGCAGCTCAGAGGAGGATCACGGTAATCAGGGAAATTCAAAAGGAACAGTCACACAAAACAAAACTCTTGGGAGTGGCAATAGGGGTGAGGAATTTGACCCAGGTAAAAGCCCCTTTGGACATAATTTCAAAGAAACTTCAGACTTAATTAAACATCTGAAAGTCTACTTGAGGAAGAAATCTCGGAGGTATAATGAAAGCAAGAAACCCTTCAGTTTTCATTCAGACCTCGTTCTGAACCGCAAGGAGAAAACCACTGGAGAAAAGTCACGGAAATCTAATGACGGTGGGAAAGTCTTAAGTCATTCTTCAGCTCTTACTGAACATCAGAAACGTCAGAAGATTCATTTGGGGGATAGGTCCCAAAAATGCAGTAAGTGTGGGATAATCTTTATTAGAAGATCAACTCTTTCTAGGAGAAAAATCCCTATGTGTGAGAAATGTCGGAAAGATTCATGTCAAGAAGCAGCCTTAAATAAAGATGAGGGAAATGAGACTGGAGAAAAAACTCATAAATGTAGTAAGTGTGGAAAAGCCTTTGGCTATAGCGCCTCACTCACCAAACATCGGAGAATTCACACTGGAGAAAAACCCTATATGTGTAATGAATGTGGAAAAGCTTTTAGTGATAGTTCGTCACTCACGCCACATCATAGAACTCACAGTGGAGAGAAACCCTTCAAATGTGATGATTGTGGGAAAGGTTTCACCCTAAGTGCTCACCTCATTAAACATCAGAGAATTCATACTGGAGAAAAACCTTATAAATGTAAAGACTGTGGGAGACCCTTCAGTGACAGTTCATCTCTTATTCAACATCAGCGAATTCATACCGGAGAAAAACCCTATACATGTAACAATTGTGGAAAATCCTTCAGTCATAGCTCATCCCTTTCCAAACATCAGAGAATTCATACTGGAGAGAAACCCTATAAATGTGGCGAATGTGGAAAAGCCTTTAGACAGAATTCATGCCTTACCCGGCATCAGAGAATTCACACTGGAGAAAAACCGTATTTGTGTAATGATTGCGGAATGACTTTTAGCCATTTTACATCTGTGATTTATCATCAAAGACTTCATTCAGGAGAAAAACCCTACAAATGTAACCAATGTGAGAAAGCCTTCCCAACTCATTCACTGCTTAGTCGTCATCAGAGAATTCATACTGGTGTAAAACCTTATAAATGTAAAGAATGTGGGAAGTCCTTTAGTCAGAGTTCATCTCTTAATGAGCACCACCGAATTCATACAGGAGAGAAACCCTATGAATGTAACTATTGTGGTGCAACCTTTAGTCGAAGCTCAATCCTTGTAGAACACCTAAAAATTCACACCGGAAGGAGAGAATATGAATGTAACGAATGTGAGAAGACTTTTAAAAGTAATTCAGGCCTCATTAGACATCGGGGATTTCATGCTGCAGACTAATCCTGGAACTACATTAAGATGGGGGGAATTTAATTCAAATTGTCAGTTACTGAAACCCTGGGATATAAACTTACAATATTGATCAGTAGCTGCAACTTTCATAAATTGGCAGTTAGGAAAAATATTCTTTTGCCCATCCCTCTTCTTTTCAAGGATGGCAACAGCTGGTAAACAGTAATTAGTTGGTAAAGTCACTGGAAAGGGAAGAATGCAAAATGATTCTGAGGCCAAACGAATTGGAAAAACTCTTTTCTTCAGGGGATTTCCCTCTAATTTCTTCCACTACCATGTAGTGTGATGGAAAGAGAACTTGACTGCAGTCAGATAACTTGGATTCTGTCCCAATTTGCCAACCAACTTGCTGTATACACCTTGGACAAGTCATTTGACCTTTCAGAATTTTATTTTCTTCACCAGCAGAATGAAGGGATGGGACTAATGATTTTTGTCTTTTTTGGTTTTTTAGTTTTTGGTTTTTTGATATTCCTGATAATCTCTGAAGCTGTGGACATAAGTTTTTTTTTTTTTTTTTATCATTTCTTTCAAGTTTCTCTAGTGAAAAATCCCACTATTCAGGATACTGGACTTCTTTTTTTTTTTTTTTCTGCTTTTCTTTTTTGGGATGGTGTCTCACTATGTTGCCCATGCTGGTCTTGAACTCCTGGGCTCAAGTGATCCTTCCATCTCAGTTTCCTGAGTAGCTGACATTACGGGTACACTCCACCAAGCCTGGTTCCCAGGATGCTGGACTTCTAGCTTAGTGAGAATGCAGTATAGTTGTTGAAAACTTTGTGCAGGAATCCCTGAAATGTTGTAACTAGGAATGGGCCAGTGAAACTCAAACAACTTTTCCTTGAGGGAGTATTTTAATTGGCCAAGGGAGCTCTTTTTCTTTTGGCGTTGGCCAAGGGTACTGAGAAGCCAGAGAGCTTGCACGGGAGCCATCTCAGCCGTGAGAATAACAGTCCTAGGAAAATAGATGGGGGCTGAGGCGAAGGAAGTGTGCTGAAAACAGAGCTGTTCTGGATGGATTTTGGTTTGCAAAAATTCTACTTTAAAACAATGTTGCCTGTAGCAAGTACATTTTTTTGCAACTGGAGTGTAAGCATTCTATATGGCAACAGTTAAAAGCTGTTCTAACAATTTGTCTACTTGGGGTGTGCCTGCGTGTGTGTGTGTGTGTGTGTGTGTGTGTGTGTGTGTGTGTGTGTGTGTGTGTGTGTGTGTGTGTGTGTGTGTGTGTACATTGTTGCCGCTGTTAAAATTAGGGCATTTCATACTAAAAACAATGCTTGTCTTAAAAAATTATAAGGGCTAACAACACTGGGCTTATATTTCTGTAAAGCACTCAGCTGGTCCTGGGTAGCAGCTGCCACCTTTTGATGGGGAATCTACTTTCTGACTTAGCTAGTTCTCTCATGTATGTAACCTGACTTTCCCACTGTAGGAATGTTCTGTTATAACCCCTACCATTTTGAGAATAGATACCCTAAAATCTAAAGAGACCCCATTGATAGCAAGTAAAGTTCAGGGAATGAATGTAGAATTGATACAGAAAAAATTTTCAGTTAAGTTTTCTTTCGTGACATTAGACCTCAGAGGAATGGAATATACGGGTATTGGTGGATTATTCCTTATAAATTTCATTGGTGGAGTCTGAATAATAATTTCCAACTGAAAAAGGAACTTAAGGCCCTGAATGAGTGAGGTTTTAGCTTCAGGTCATAGGGTTCTGGAGAAACCCCATGGACAATGGTCTAGAAATAAGTTCCTAAAGTTGAAATTGTAGGCAGCTCCTATAGAAAGAGAGCTAAACAAGAAAATTCTTGGTTTATGGAAGTAAAGCGATCCTTAATGCTGATCTTAGACTCAGGAACATTTACTGTGACTAATGTATGTAGGTGTGAAATGCTACCTCTGGGAGAAGGTTTTTGGTGCCTCCCCAACCCCAAGCCGGCAGTTTAAATATTGCCGTGTGATAAATTGGTCTGCATAGTTATTGCTCAGCGGACCAGCCAATCACATGCTAGCCACGAAAGGAATGTTTATAATGAGAATCATTCATGATGGTTTTAAGTTTTTTTCTGAAAAGACAAAAAACTTGGTTTAAGTTTTGTTTTCTGAAAAATATAATTTATAGAAAGAGTTGAAGAAACATGCAAAAGACTTCAGAAAAGACTTGTTCCAGGATGATTACTCTTAGACTCCCTAACATTCATAACAATGTTTTATCCCAGTATCCATTGGGAATCTAGAGTATAAACATTTTTTTAAACGAATTTACTGAGGTACAAATTACATATCATTAAAACCATATCAAGTGTACAATTCAGTGAATTTTAGTAGATTTGCTGAGTTGTGTAACCATTACCATAATCCATTTTTTAGAACATCATCCCAGTAAGATCCCTTATTCCAGTTTACAGTTAATCTCCCTTCCAACTTCTAATCCCAGGCACCCACTACTCAGTCTACTTTGTGTCTCTAGAGTTGTCTTTTTCTGTACATTTTATGTTATATGTGATCTTTCCATATTTTTTCATTAATGTGTTTTAAGTTCATCCATATTGTAAGATACTAGTACTTTATTCCTTTTTATCATAAATAATACTAGATTATGTGGATCCTTTGTACATTCACTAGTTGAAGAACATTTGAGGTTTTTCCAGTTTTTGCCTGTTAGGAATAATGCTGCTTTGAACATTGGTATGCAAGTGTTTTGAACATTAGCGTGCAAGCCTTTGTGTGGACATGTTTTCATTTTTCTTAGGCAGATGCCTGAGGGGAGTTGCTATGTCATATGGTAAATTTTTGTTTAACTTTGTTAGGAAACTGCCAAATTGTTTTCCCAAGTGACCGCATTACTTTACATTCTGACTAGTAACGTGTGAGGGTTCCCATTTCTCTACAGTCTTGCCAGTCATTGTCTGTTTTTTAAAAATTATACCCATTCTAGTGTTTGAAATATTCCTTTGTGGTTTTAACTCTGATTTTCCAGATGACGAATAATGTCAAAGCATCTTTTATGTGCTCTTCAGCCATTCATGTATCTTAGTGAAGTGTTTTATTGCCAGATTTTTTGTCCATTTAAAAATGGAGTTGCTGATATTGTGTTGTAATCCTTTTTATTCTGGATATAAGTCCTTTATCCAATATGAACTTTCTAAATACCATGTACTAGCTACAGAGGGCTGCCTCAAACTCTGTTGGATAATAATTTATCAAAGTCTTGATTTCAGTAGCTAAGTCTGTATAATTGCCTGCGGGACATTCACTCTGGCCCATCACCCAAATATTTAAATTCACTTTTGGATTAAGTCACATTATCAAAAGGCTTTAAATATCTTTTGATTCCTTATAGGATTGCTTTTATTAAGAGCACTGTGACACATTTTACTTTAAAATGAAGTCCTTGCTTTAAATAATGTTTCCTCTTAATGAGCTTGTATAAATTTTTTTTCATATCACAAGACAAGGCAAGGTTTTTGTCGATAAATTAACTTTATTTATTTTAGAATTACTTTTTAATGTAGTAAAATATATATAGCATAAAATTATCCATTTAAACACTTTTTGGTTATACAACTCAGTAGCATTTAGATAGGTGCACGTTTTTTGCAGTCATCACCACTGTCCATCTCCAGAACTTTTTCATCATCCCAAACTGAAACTCTGTACTCCTTAAACAATAATGCCTCATTTTCTCCTCCTCAGGCTCCTGGTAACCGCTGTTCTACTTCCTATCTATACAAATTTGTTCTGATTACTTGGCATGAATGGAATCATACAATATTTGCCCTTTTGTGTGTGGCTTATTCCACTTAGCATTATGTTTTCAAGGTTCTGCTGTGTCGTAACAGGTATCAGAATTTAATTCCTTTTTAAGGCTGAATAATATTCCATTTAATTCCTTTTTAAGGGTGAATAATATTCCATTGTACTTGTATACCACATTTTGTTTATCCTTTTATCTGCCAGTGGACATTTAAGTTGTTTCCACCGTTTTGGCTATCAAGAATAACATTGCTATAATCAGTGGTGCTTTCTGTTCTTTTAAGTATACACCTAGAAATGGAGTTGCTTTATCTTATGATGATTCTATGTTTAACTTCCTGAGGAAATGAAACTACACTATTCTAAATTCCCACCAGCTATGTGCAAGGGTTTTTTCAATATTCCCGCCCTTGCTAACACTTATTTTCTATTTCTTTTTTATAACAAACATCCTAATGGGTTTGAAGTGGTATCTTATTCTGGTTTTGTTTTGCATTTCCGTAGTGATTAGTGATGTTGACTGTCTTTTTATGTGCTTATTGACCATTTGTATCTCTTTGGAGAAATGTTGATTGAAGTCCTTTGCCCATTTTTTAATTGGTTTTGTTGCCATTGTTGTTTAGGTGTAGAAGTTCTTTGTATATCCAGAACATATAAAGAACTTTTCAGGTAAATGATTTGCAAATACTTTCTTCCATTCTGTGTGAGTTGCCTTTTCATTCTATTCTTAATGCCCTTTGAAAAAAGGTTTTAATTTTGGTGAAGTTCGATTTTTCTGTTTTTTCTTTCGTTCCCTGTGCTTTCGTTGTCATGCCTGAGAAACCATTGCCAAATCCAATGTCATGAAGCTTTTCTCCTGTTCTAGGAGTTTTGTAGTTTCAGGTCTTATGTTTAAGTCTTTTAACCATTTTGATTTTTATGTATGGTGAAGGTCCCATCTTCATTCTTTTGCATGCGAATATCCAGTTTTCCCAGCCCCATCTGTTGAAGAGACTATCCTTTCCGTATCATGCATTCTTTGCACTCTCGTCAAAGATCATTTGACCATATACATGCATGTTTATTTCTGACTGTCTACTCTGTTCCTTTGGTCTGTATGTTTGTCTTTATGCTAGTACCACGCTATTTTGATTACTCCAGAAATGTTTTGTAATCAGGATTACACTGTTTTCCTGTAGTATGTTTTTGAAATGAGGAAGTGTGAGGCCTCCAGCTTTGTTCTTTCCCAGATTGTTTTGGCTATTCAGGGGTCCTTAAGATTTCAAATGAATTTTAGGATGGTTGGTTGGTTTTTGTGGAAAATGGCATGGAGATTGGGCTTGCATTGAATTTGTAGATCTGTTGGGTAATGTGGACATATTAATATGAAACATTACAGTCTGTAAACCCAAGGTGTCTTTCCATGTATTTGTGCCATCTTTAATTTTTTCAGCAATGTGTTATAGTTGTCATTGTACAAGACTTTTGCCTCCTTGGTCAAGTTTATTCTTGAGTATTTTATTGTTTTTGATGCTGTTGTAAATGGGTCTTTGTTAGTAAAGCATAACTGAGTTTTGAGTGTTGATTTTGTATCTTGCAACTTTGCTGAATTTGTTTATCAGTCATAACAGTTTCTTGTGAAATTTTTGGGATTTTTAAATATAAGATTATGGCATCTGCAAATAGATAATTTTTCCTTCTTCCCAATTTGAGTGGCTTTAACTTGCCAATTGCTCTGGCTAGGACTTCCATTACTGTGTTGAATAGAAGCAGCACTAGCAGGCATCTGTGCCTTTTCCTGAGATGCTTTCAATTTTGTATCATTCCATATGACGTTAGCTGTGGTTTTTTCATATTTGACCTTTATTATGTTAAGGTAATTTCTTTTTATTGATAAATTCTTGTTTGAAGGACAGTTTTGCTGGATATAGAATTCTCAGTTGACAGTTTTGTTTTGTTTTTTCTTTCTGCGCTGAGTATAACAACACCACAGCCTTCTAGCTTCAAAGGTTTCTGATGAGCAATCAGCAGTCTCACTGAGGATCCCTTTTATGTGATGATTTGCTTATCTCTTGCCACTTTTGAGATTCTCCTTTTCTCTTTGGATTTCAACAACTTGATTATAACTTGTCTTGGTGTCTCTGGGGGGTGAGGGTAGGAGTCAGTTGCAGTGCTTGTTGCCATAGTTCAGAACCTGCACCACAAAGACCTTTCCAGTTCTGTAGAGTGGTTTATTGCTTTATTAGTGCAATAGAGAGTCACTGGAGGTTCTCTGTGTGTGTGAGTATATGAATAAATATTTAATTTTGTTTTGCTCTTGTTTTCACCTCAGAATAGTTTTATCAGATGTGGAATTTCTTGATCATTGGGGAGAAATACCTTGCGATTCTGAAAAGCACACCGTCAAAATGCTTTTCATAAAATGTAGCACATATTAGGGTTTCTCCCTTGTGTGGAAATGTTAGTGCCTATAGAGGTCTGAACTGAGAAAACTTCTCTCAAGCCAGAACACATGTGAGGTTCCTCTGCTGAATGAATCCTTTGGTGCTCAGTAAGTTGCGACTTCCAAGCGAAGTGTTTTTCACCCTGAGAAATTGGTGAGATACCTCTCTTGGAGTCTTTTTTATGAAGTCTGATGTAGAGAGGTTCTTCCAGGTTGGAGTTCTTAGGTCTCTCTCCCTTTTAGATTATCAGAGCAGGTCTGATCATCTACAAGCTTTGCTAAACCTACCTGTAGCTCTTCTGGGGTGGTGGTGGTGGTGGTGGCCGTGGCCGCAGTGTTCTGCATTGATTTTCTAAATGTTTGTGGTTCTTTTGTAAAGTGGACCCTTGCCTTCTAAGTTAATGGTGAATGATACATATTTCCTTCATTTTTCTGCTTTGAAGCTTCAGTCTTCTTCATTTTCTCTTCTGATCTGTCAACACAGTCAGAACTTTCACTTAGCTCTTTGAGCATCTTTAAGGCAGTTGGTTTAAAGTCTGTCTAGCAAGTCAATGTTTGGTCTTCCTCGTGTCCATTTTTTGTTGGTTTATTTTGTGCCTTCGAATGGTCCATACTTCCTTGTTTCTTTGTATGCATTGTGATTGTTTTTGTTGACAAATATCTATTTGAATCTTATAATGTGGCAGCTCTGGAAATCAGATTATTCCTTTTCCCCCAGGGTTTATTTTTTTTTATTTGTGTGTGTGTGTGTGTGTGTGTGTGTGTGTGTGTGTGTGTATTGTGTGTTTTTTGTTTTCATTTTTGTTTTATTATCATAGACTGTCTCTGCTAGGGATCAGCCTGTGTTGAATGCCTAAAGTTTTCTCAGTTCTTTTCAGAGCCTGTGTTTTCCCCTGGGCAGGGGCAATGGCTTTCTAAATTCTCCTAGATACACAGTTTTTTGAATGTCCAGAAAAACAGGTGTCATCCCTTTTTTCTCCTGGAAGCCACTTTAGCCAGTTGGGGGTTGGGAGAATGGTAGCTTGCTTCTGTGTCTGCTCTTCCTCTGTGATCAGAAGTAGATATCTGCAATCAGAACCCTGATATTTGGAGGAAGTGGCTTTTATTGTCCACCCTGGCGGCAGCAAGCTGAACCAGAAATGTGGGATTGTGTCTCCACAGCTGCCTTCCATGGAGTGGGTGGGGGATGGGTAGCTGCTGCTTCACTGAAGGGTGAAATCCACCAATGTTAACTGCAATTTACCAGTCAGGATTTCCCCTAGAAGCTACAAATGTTCAGATGGACTCAATGTGCTCCCAAAATAATCACTTTAGGAACTTTCTGCGGATGTAATTGTTATCTAGGTGGAGAGGTGGATTCCTGGGCCACTCTCTCCATGTCTTTGATTTTTCCTACTTTCTTGAAGATTTCTTCAACTTTATCTTCCAGCTCTACTATTAAATGTTGTGAATGTTTTATCTCTGCTGTCATATTTTTATTTCCAAGTGCATTATGTGATTCTCTGTTCCTTTTTTCTAATTGGTTTTGTTTCATAGGTGAAGTATTTTTTCTCTGAGCATGTTAATTATAGTGTGTTTCTGTGTTATTCTTCTCCCTGCATTATCGCTGTTTCCTTTGAGTTGTTTTTACCTGTTTTCTGTCTCTCACATTGGAGGCTTTCCTGAAGCCTCTGGTGATCTTTGACTATTTATATATAAGAGCAGGGCTCTACAAGCTGATTGGAAGGTGTTTTAGGTACTTCAGCACCATCCAGCAGTAATATAATGGGAGCCACATACGTAATTTCAAATTTTGTAGTAGCCACTTTTAGAAAATAAAACAGGTAAAATTAAAAATGTATTTTACCTCACCCAGTATATCCATAATATTATTTCATCATGTAATCAATGTAAAAAATTATTGAGACATATTATTTTTTGCACTATTTTTGAAATCTGGTATGTAATGTGTCACAGCACGTCTTAATCTACACACAAAATTTTCATTTGTAATACTTAACTCACATTTAGATTTATAAAACAGAGTTGATAAGTAGATTCACATAGTTCTTCTAAACATATTTTGTTGTTCTAAATATGCTTAATTCCAATAACTGAATCAAGTATCCAATTTTTTTTTTTTTTCCGAGATGGAGTCTCACTTTGTCGCCCAGGCTGGGGTGCAGTGGCGCAATCTCGGCTCACTGCAACCTCTGCCTCCTGGGTTCTAGCGATTCTCCTGCCTCAGCCTCCCCAGTAGCTGCGATTACAGGTGCATGCTGCCACGCCTGGCTAATTTTTTTTATTTTAGTAGAGATGAGGTTTCACCATGTTGCCCAGGCTGTTTTCCAACTCCTAAGCTCAGGCAGTCTGCCTGTCTCGGCCTCCCAAAGTGCTGGGATTACAGGTCTGAGCCACTGCACACAGCCCCAATTTTTTTTTTATATTTGCATCCACATTAATAAAACATCTTTTATTAGAAAAATTCATTTAATATCTAGGCAAATGTATATCACTTTCAAAACTGTTTTTAAGCAAATTCAGTATCAATTCAGTTTATTAGCATCAAATTTGATGAGGCATTGTATAAATGGAAATAAAACAGTTTATCAGTACAACATACCGTTCTTCAGATTTTGCTTATTGCAGCCATTTATTACATTTAAAATTTTCTGCATATTGACTCATTTGAAAAATATGTGAGTTATTCTGTTTTATTTGTATTATGAAATGTTTCTATTGTAAATAAATTCTTTTACCTGTCTAGCCAGGTCACAAGTTTTTCCAGTTTTAGGAGCTTCAAATTTAGCTTGTTCATATGCAGCGTGATATATTAGGGAGAAAATGTGAATCACCGTGCTTTTTGTCTTTGATTGAATATTTGGTAAGCATTTCTTTTGTTTCAAAGAAACCTTGAATTGGATTTTCTAGTACAGGAAATCCTTATAAAATTCTTTTGTAAGTCATCCAAGTAATATTGGTAAGTAAATGAGATCATTGGTTACTTTTTTTTTTTCCCAGAAGTTTCATAAACTGTCAACATTCTATAGCTTTTGTGCGTATGTACTGAAGAATTATAACACCTGTATCCATGACTCGTTTCTTGGAGTCTGCTTCAGAAAACTGAACACAAATATTTTCAATGTGTATCATGCAATAGAATATAGTAATGAGGGAAAACTTACCCTCTTGCTTTAAAATTCCAACACGGATGGTCTTTTGACTTAAATAGCTGGAGTCCCATCCTCGTGATAGAAACTAACTTTTCTGTCTCTAACTGAAATTCTTTGACAGATGGAAGATTGTCAAAAATATCTGCCATGAGTTTGAGCCTTTAGGCAATGAATTCACATTTCATTGCCTTTACATGAATCGACATTGTGAATTTGGAGGTTCTTTGAGACAGAATATGCCCAGAGTTTTCTTTGGGCAGGGTCTTATATCAAATAGTTCATCTACGGCTAAAGAAAAATACTTGAAATTTTTCAAATTTTGAATTGGTCTTTATTAAAAATATATTCTATAAGCAAAAATGTATTTTGTTCATGTATATCCAAGAGGAAAATTGTTTAATGGTTTCATTGAGATTTTCAGTTTTCGTGAATGTCTTTTAAGGTCTTTTCCTCATAATTTTCTAAATACGATAAAGTGATAATTTGTTCATCTCTCCATCTAAGGTTCTTCTTTGTATATGCATGTGTAAGAAGCTATTTTATAGCTTGCCAGGTTTACAAACTCAGATCCTTTTAAAAGCTGTTTAAATTGTTTCATTAGAAATTTAACTCAGTTCATATGACTAATTTTGTGTATTCTTTTTTGACCTAAACTCACTAAATGGTTGCTAAAAATTACATGTCTTAAATATTGTCTTAAGTATTATCTACTATATATCTTTAACACTTCTGAATACAACAGACAGCTTTTCCATTTTGCTCTGCTGCAGTAAATTGCAATTGCCATTCATCATTAAATGTGCACTATACTGTCTTCTAGTCGTCTTGACTATGCCAGTTGTAGTACCAGCTTCTGTATCTGCACTGAATTCTGCCTCAGTAATATGCCTTTGTTTAAAATTTAAATATTTTTTCGTATTTTTTAACCTAGAAAATAACTATAATGAAAATGTTAAGTATCTCATTTTAGGATTTCGATTTACATAGGTATCACTGTAACTTGTGCTGTTTGCATAGGTATACTCTATCTTGTACTATCTGCATAAAATATCCAAGTAAACACATTGTGATATTACATGCGTGCATAGAAAAAAAAAATTATCTAACTCAATCTATTAATACTGTCTAGATTGGTGACGTGTTTACGTGTAACACTAGTGATAATGCACGTTCCTGTACAAGCATTATAGTACAACAGTGTCCTATGCGATGCAGTGGTTAAAGTGAATTGTAGTTCTATCAAAATAAAGATACATTTAGTGGAAACGTATTTGACTCTGCTTCTGTTTTTAAAATTGTGAAATGTGGCACTGTGTGCATTTCCATTTCTCACTGGCCTCAAGTGACTACCGTATTGAGTTGCAGTAAGCAGTCCTAGCCTCAGATAACCCAACAAATCGGAGTAGCTTAACTGAATGAAAGTTTATTCCCCAGGGGTCTTTCCAGTGTTTTGTTGCTTTCCCATAGTTTGTAGCCATGGTGTGTGGAGCACATGATTTCCAATGTCCCAGAAGCAGGGAAAGGAAAAATTGGAGCATTGTGCAGTGTTTTTAAGCACTAGCCTAGAAACAGCTGAGAACCATGGGTTTCAAACTAGGTGCCAAGGTTTCCCATGCCACTGTAGAGATCTCACACGGGCTTCCCAAGATATTTTAAAATCTTGAGATTATCACAACTACAACTATTGACATCACAAACTACTACTATTATGTTATTTGGAACTAATTACTGAGCAAATGGAATTGGTGGTTAATGGGTTTGTTTGTTTGCCTGGGAGCATTGTGGAAAGATGGCCCTGGTACTACGGACGCTGTAACTAAGAAAGTTTGTGAACCTCTGTCTTAGAAGTCACTTCTACTCTTCTGTTGCCCAGAGATCAATCATATAACCCTAACCTAACTTAAAGACAGACTTGAAATACAGCTTTTCCCTCGTTGTGGTGAGCACATAGATTATTTCTACCACAGTCTTTCCTTTTGGTCACCAATCTCTTCCCACACATAATGCATACAGTATTCCCCTTATCCATGGGGGATATGGTCCAAGACCCCGAGTGGATGTCTGCAACCTCAGATAGTACCAAACCCTGTATGTAGTATGTTTTGTCAGTCTGATAACTGAGAAGGCTACTAAGTGACTAACAGGCAGGTAGTGTAGATGACATGGATATGCTGGACAAAGGGATAATTTGTGCCCTAGGAGGCATGGAGCAGGATGGCAAGAGGTTTCATCGAGCTACTCAGAATACACAATGTAAAACTTATGAATTGTTTATTTCTGAAATTTTCTATTTAATATTTTGGGGCCAAGATTGATTGAGGGTAACTGAAACCATGGAAAGTGAAACTTTGAATAAGGGGAGACCACTGTATTTTACCCAAGGGAGACAATCTGAAGTCTAATCTGCTCAGGGTTTACAACTAACGTCCAGAGTCTTTGAGTTAGAAACTTTGAGTGTCACGTACTTTTTGCCTTTGGGACCCTAAATGTCAGTGTCTGTTAATTTTTCTTTGAGAAGTGTAATTTCTCCAGAGGCTGCTCTATAATTTCCCCAGAGAAGGATGTCCCAGTCAGCATGGGGGATATAAGCCTGGCTACCATTACTGGAGAGCAGGCAGTGGCACACTGCATGGTGGGATAGGAGTTGGAGTTCATCCCCTTTTATTCAGACTTCCACTTAGTATCCTGTTTTTAGTCTTCTATCTTATTTCTATCCTCCTCCAGGCCCAGGGTACCCAAGTTAATAGCCTATCAAGTTCTATTTGGTAAAAGATAATGCCTCTCATTTCCTGTGGCAATTGTGATGAATTGATAATCACCTGGCAAAATAAGGTAAGAGTGGCGACTTGAGCTCAAACTGTTCTATGCACATTTTCAAACTCTTTTTAGCCTCTGATTTCCTCCCTACTTCCAGAAAACCTGATGCCTCTACCTCCTAAATCTTTCCAGATTCCATTAGTACCCCATCAGAAGGCAGTTGTGCTATATTCTACTGTGCTCTGTTAATAAAATTTTTCCTCTAAACAATATGTGTATTCTATTCTCACACTGCTATAAAGAACTACCTGAGACTGGGTAATTTATGAAGAAAAGAGGCTTAATTGACTCACAGTTCTGCAGGCTATACAGGAAGCATGGCTGGGAGGCCTCAGGAAATTTATGGCAGAAGGGCAAAGGGGAAGCAAGCACATCTTCACATGGCGGCAAGGGAGAGCAAAAACGGGGAAGTACTACACACTTTTAAACAGCCAGATCTCATGAGAACTCACTATCATGAGAACAACAGGAGGGAAATCTGCCACCATGATCCCATCACCTCCCACCAGGTCCCTCTCCTAACATTGTGGATTATAGTTCAACAGCAGATTTGGGTGGGGACACAGAGCCAAACTATATCATTCCACCCCGGCCCCTCCCAAATCTCATGTACTTTCTCACATTTCAAAGCCAATCATGCCTTCCCAACAGTCCCTTAAAGTCTTAACTCATTCTAGCATTAACTCAAAAGTCCAAGTCCAAAGTCTCTTCTGATACAAGGCAAGTCCCTTCTGCTTCTGCCTATGAGCCTGTAAAATCACAAGTCAAAAACAAGTTCGTTACTTCCAAGATAGAACAGGGGTACAGACATTAGGTGGATGCTCCCATTCCAAGGGGGAGAGATTGACCAAGACAAGGGGGCTACAGGCCCCATGCAAGTCCAAAACCCAGCAGGGCAGTCATTAAATCTTACAGCTCCATAATAATGTTTGACTCCATGTCTCACATCCAGGGCATGCTGATGCAAGGGGTGGGCTTCCAAGGTCTTGGGCACCTCCACCCCTGTTACTCTGCAGGGTACAGCTCCCATGGCTGCTCTCAAGGGCTGTTGTTGAGTGCCTGTGACTTTTCCAGGTGCATGGTGCAAGTTGTTGGTGAATCTACCATTCTGGGGTATGGAGGATAGTGGCCATCTTCTCATGGCTCCACTGTGTGGGGGCTTCATCCCCACATTATCTCTCTGCACCACCCTAGTAGAGGTTTTCC